CTATCCCTATACCTCTGTGAAAACCAGCATTCTGAAAACCTAATGAAACTTCAACTAAACCTTTGAGAATAATGGTTTACTAACTTTCAGTTTCATGTCACTACTAACAAATTTCTTAATAATCTTTTTAAGAAAGATGAAAACACTGAAAAATAAATGTAAATTCTACAGAGCTTAACAGGAAGCAAAAACTAATTCTGAATGCTAAGGTCACCCACAAAAGGCCATCATCATGGTCTAAATTATACCTTGTTGCGGAATTCTCCACACCCTCCTTGGTGAACACGCAAACAGTGCTTGTTTGCAGTAGCAGACACATACTTTCTCACAGTTAAGAGCTCTGCTTGGGATTTCAATTATAAAAATAACCAAACTATGACAAAGTTCATTACTAAATCCCTTTGAGCTCAAAACAAAAGGCCCACAGACACGTCCCAGCTTCTTCACTAAACCCTGGTTCTTGTGAACGCCTTACCACACTGGGTATCTACAGTGAAAACAAGCACAAGGCAAAGAACGATCACATAAAGAAAGAGAAACTTCTTCAAAAGCATTTCATCCTCAAAAGTAAACCCACATAGTTAGAAAAATAAAACCACAGGATGTGTGATATCCTGTAGGAAAGGAGTTCTTGGTTTTAGTTGTTGTTTTTCTTTTCTGGTAAGGCAAAGGAGATCTTGAGATAACCATTTGTGATAAACCTGAGTTTTGTTTTTTTTTTCCTTTAAATTCAAGAATAAAATTATATTTCTTTTATATTTAAAATACTGTGCCTGGAACAGTAAATGTTAAATCATAATTTATATAATTACAAACTTATTTTATGGAATTTACTTTTTAAAAGGAAACTTGTTATTTCAACACAACTATAGACTCACAGGAAATTGCAAATATAGTACAGAGAGATCCCATGTACCCATTACTCAGCTTCCTGACTATACATTTAAGCATTTATAATTTGGTTTTAAAAGGGTTAAAATACTTGTTTATGAAACTCCCAAAAAATTAATACCTTGGGTTGGCGGACTCTCTAAGGAAACACAGCACAAAATCAGTTACTGTAATTATCACGTGAAGCTACCTCAACAAATTGGTTTTCTGAGATGCTATCACTGTCGATTCCAACTCATAGTGTGTTAGATTGGGTTCTCTAGAGAAACACAAAAAAAAAACCCAGCAAGGTATATATATATATATAT